TCTGAGTTTGATCTAGTCTAAACGTGAGTCAAGTAGAAATCAATCTTCGATTCTGGATTTTTTTTTGATGAACTACGATGTGATTGACCATGAAAATTTGATTGAAATATTTATCAAAAAATTTTTCTATTGAGCTTCTATTTCCATAGAAAATTTGTTAAATCTAGATCTCATTTTTCAATCGGGTATTACTAAAGTAAATTCCAATATTTTCTTGTAGTTCATGAATACAAAAAGGTGATCTGAAATTTTTGTTCGATTCAAGTTCGGAAAGTCGAATCTTAGATTGAACGCTGACATATATATACGAACGTGTGAACGTTAGTTTTTCCATATTCTACGTCATGACAATTAATACCTGTAATGTTCAACTTAATAAATAAGAATCATCGAATTAAACAAAAACTCTATGAAGGCGAAGAACTATTATAGATACGTATTCTTTAATGTATATAGATTACTTTGATTATTTGTTTCGCTCTCCACCCTCCCTTTTTTTTTCTTAAGAATGGGTTTGTTAGGTTTATCGTCTAACTGTAAAATTGTGTTTTGTTTTGTTCTCGTTTTTTACCATTGTAAATTCTTTCCATCTCTTTTTTTTATGCATGTTATCTAAAATGAGATGAATTTTTTTTTTGTTATTCTATTTATCTTTTACTTTTTCGTGTATTTTATTGAAGCTTTCAAGTAAATATAAAATAGTAACGATAGAACATAATCATCTTGACTTATGAAGTGATTATATCTGACTCATAAGGATCAAGTAAGCCTTCAAGAATACAAGAATCTTATTGGACCGGCAAGTCTTGCCTGATCAGTCAAGAATAATGACAAGAATGTCGACTAGTAAAGATATTAAAAGAAAAAATCTTATCTTCGGAAAGAATCAAAATTGACAAGTTCAGCAATTCAGCTAATTTTAATGTCTCATGAGTATACTCTTTTATTTTATAGAAGAAAATAAGAATATCTTAAGAGAATTAATTATCAAATAGAATTTCCTTCAAATCTACAAATAATTTTATTTCTGTAATGAGAATAATCCATCATCGAACATAATAGTAAAGTCATCATAACAAAGTCTTAAAGTTTCACTAAAATATTACAATATCCAATTCATTTGCATATATTCTTATTATCTACTCTCATCCATTTTTTTTCTTAACCAATACATCATACTAATCTTCGTTCTAGAATTAAAAAGGAATGAGTGTAACCACAATAACTAGACAACGACGACAGTTAGCGACCTCAAGTTTTCAGCGATCGAAATAGAAGATTTTTTCAAAATACTTCAGTTTTGACGTGAGCTTTAAATAGAATGATTCAGGTGATTATCTTCTTATGTCTCAACACAGAGTAAAGAAAATCGTGTATCGATTCAGTCAAATCATGTAGAGTTTATGTTGATTTTTACTAAATTTTCTAATTTTTTTATCGAAATTTCATTGAATCAGAACGCCTCTTTCATGTGTTTTTAAAAGTCTTTTTCAAAACTCTTCTCTTTCTATTACTGAACATCGTAGGTCACCAGCTGTTGTTGTTGTGGAGTTATTGAGCTTACACTCACTTCTCTTTAGGTCTGATACAGACATTAGTTCACTCGAATACAGAATTCTTATTTTTCAAATAAAACTTGTGACTACTTCAAGCATCTACAAAATAATTAAAATCTGAAAAAAATCATACATGAATCTTGGCAACAGATCCAATATCTTCTGTTCGAATACGAAATCGTTCTTGTGCACCCGTTTCAAATAAATTTCGTAATAGAAAATCATTACTATCCGGTACCCAATTCGAATGAGTTAATTGATATTCACCAGTACTTTCATCTTTTGAATTAAATAAGCGAATATAAATATTACTATCCGTTCCAGCGAAACGTTCATTGCCCGTATATACATGAATATTCCAAACTTTAAAAAAAAACAAAATAAATCAAAACTTTAATCAAGGTCCCTACTTCCATCCAAAACAAGACGTTTTTTGAGTTTAATATATAGGTATAACCCTTAAGGCGTATGAATTCAAAATTTATATGAGTTTCTAGAACTTAACTTTTCAAAGAAAAAAACAATACTATATCCCTAGGAAAATTTATAGCGCTATTGAAGTAACAGCCTTTAGGCGTAGCTAGAAGGTCGCTCGGTAAAACTCTAAATGAATTTTTAATCTTATCTGAGGCTCATGTCGAAAAGTTCATCAGTCAATATACAAGACAATTCTTAAAATTAGTTTTTTTGCATTAATTGTTAAGTTCAGATTCCTTCCAGTGAAATGTGCTTGTTTTTTTCGACAGATAAAAACACTCTCTTTTAGGTGAGGAAAAAAGATTTTGCATGAAACCCTCAATATCAAAGTAATCGTGAATTTTCTACAAAAGCATAGCCTAAAATTTTGAGGATCTCAAAAATGAAATAAAATCTTCCTCTTATTCATCCGAAGTGATAAAGAATTCTATATGAAATAAAAATATCTCAAGCGCTGTAGATCGAAGTCTATTTAAACCAACATTGGTATGCATTAGAGTCCTATTTCGCACGATGGCTTCTCAAAGATAAGGTTTGCAGTCATGAAAATCGATTTTGAAGCAAGCAGGAAGTCTAAAACAAAACAAACAATTACCTTCTGCAAGGCAACACGGAATAACACAAAGAAATAATATAAAAATTTGCATTACGACAGATAAAGATGTTTAAATATTTTCATCTAAAAGTGAATTATAAGAATAATTATCAATTAGAATGTGGTATTGTGAAAAAAGATTCAAGTAAATTGTCTATTGCATGCCAAAGTTGAAGAAGAGAAAAGAAATACACATATAACTGAATCTGCATACATTACTCTTCATAAATCATCGTATAACTTTAAGAGAACAGTTTCAAATATAGAGAAAAGATCGTTTTATAGTTGACTGATTTTCTTTTTTATGAATATGATGACTGTTCACACACACACGAAAATCATACAAAGATTGTCATAAGAAAAAAAATAGAAAGATGAGAGAACCATTCAATATAACAAGAAAGAAAAAAAATAACATTAACAGTGAGAACAAATGATTTAGCTTTTCTTTTTTATGGTGAATACCATTTCGATTTTCGTAAATCACTTCGACACATTGGACATTTACTACTTTTCTAAAATGAATAAAAATTATAATTTAAAAAAAAAGCAGTTATTTCTCAAACCTTAAGCCATTTATCAATACATCGTGTATGAAATCTGTGTAAACAAGGAATAGTCCGTACTTTATCATTAGCCTTATAGTCGTTAAGACAAATATCACATACAACACCAACTACTGATATTTCTTCAGCAGTTGCCATTGGATAACATTCAATTAAATGTCTAGATAAGCCTGAACCAAGTAAATCATCATCGTCGTCTTGATCAAATAACCGACCATTCGATGATTCAGTATAAAAATCACCTTCATCATCGGTTTCCCAACTAGGAAAAAAACGTGAAGCAAATAAATCTAGACAGAATAAAGAATTCATCGAATTACGTACCTATCACTCTGATCAGCTAAGGCAACGTCAACTTCTTGAACTTGTTCAGAAGTTGGTACTTGATCTATAATAAAATAAAACTAGATGCTTTTTAATGATTTAGAGTTGAATACCTTCTGATCGAGATTGATTTGTTGTAATAGGATTATTTCTATTGATTTGTTGATCTGTAGATGTTGAAATTTCTTGATAATTTTGGTTATTTGAAGACATTATATCTAAAAAAAACAAAAAAATTAACCTTGACATTGAATAAAAATAATCTTTGTATGAAAGTCATTCGATTGATATATGAAAATTGGAAAGAATGAAATGAAAACAAAAAATTCGTCAGAATATTCGGACAATTAAATCATCGAATAGATGCGTTTGAAAATTTTCATAGTGCATGAGTCAGAAATGCAAAGCTATAAATGAATTATTATTTCGTTCTTTCTTTCTTTCCATTTGAATTGTCATTCGATACTACAGATAGAAAATATTCGACAGATGTCGATAATACTCAGTATTTATTTAATGTTAGATTTTTAAATACTAATCTGTTTAAATAATAGTAACTTTCACTTTCTTGTTAAACAAAATTAGAACGACAAAAAAAGAAATAAGTTGCCACATTGACAGGTTTTTCGATGCAGCCCCTTTTGAAACTAAAATGTGGCATTCATATATATTCTTTAGCTTGATTATATTTATACAAAGTACGTCAAATGGAAAATCTCTTGCAGACTAGAGGGTTTTTTCAAGAATAATTGATTGTCTGTAAAACAATTGTCGTATTTATTTTTGCATTGTGAATAGGAACTTTTTATTTGGCTTGCTGTGATCCACTTGTTGTTTTTCATTTTCGTATTTCATTTTTCTCTTAATTTAACATTATTATTATTATTCTAAGCACTGGCTTAATTGGTAAACAAACTTGCTGTATGAATCCATTATAATGACAGCAAGTCTCAACACACTACTATATTTTATATGTAGACTTTGGTAAATGAATCATGTTTGGTTTTTCTTATCTATGCAAAAACCAGCAAATGCACTATTTCGAACATTCACAATGATATATCAGCTGTTCAATTTTTTAGGAAGACTTTAGACTGTTCTAGAACATTCTAAGTCTTGCTATTACTACCGTTCAGAACCTTTTTTTGTTGTAAAGTAACTTTGGGAAAGAAGTTTGACGCATGTTGTCCTCGATTAAATGTACCCGATAAGTGTCGCCGCTCCACCTGTTGCTATGAGTGGAGTGAAGCCGCACAATCTCAACTCAAGACTATATAGAACACTATTTATAATCTACATGAAATTTCTATTAGTTCTTTTTAATTTTGTTTTGTAAACAAAAAAAAACAAGCGAATATCTATAATAAAATTACAATACAACGAAAAGAAAAAGGCAAATGGATATATATGTTTTTTCTTAATATTCTATTTTGTGTGACTATATTACAAGTCTACATTTATTGCTTAGTGTATATTGAAGATTCAACGATTGTCTGCAAGATAATTCCTAAATAAATATAATAATGAATAAAAATATAATAACATGAGACGAAATACCTGGCTTTTTTATCTCGACATCGTTGAGCACGTGCTTGACCAAGAATCGACTGATGTGCTTCTCTAGCCCAGAATGTTTCAAATCGTTCGGGTTCATCAGGAAAATATCGATCAGCTACGGCTTCTAAATAATCATAATAAATCTTCTATAGAATAAAAAATCTATTACAAATATCACCTTTTATTCTATCAAGACGTTCATCAGGATTAATACCAGCAACAATTTCATTTGTTGAATAAACTTTACGTATAAGTCGACACAAAAATTCTGTCGGTCTTTGTGAAACAATATCTGTATTGCTATGTATTCGTTTATTTCTATTTGATGCTGATTTTGATGATACACTTGATGATGAACGTACATACGGTAATCCCATTTGTGATGTATCATCAAAGTCATTTGTATCCGTACTCTATATCAATAGTATAATCATTATTAAAACCTTCTTTTTCAAACGCTGTATTCCTCAAAAAAAGTCAACTTTCATTAAAAAATAATGAAAATTAAGATGGGTAGTGCGATGCCTTATCGTTTATAAAATACATAACGTTTTTTATTTCACATATTCGTTTTTGCCAAAATTTTTTATGATTTCTGTCATCATTTGCTTGAAAAAGGTGCTGCTTCTCGAAGAAAAGGGAAATGCTCATGAATCACGATATAAAAAAATGTTGAATTATAAGGATAGATATTTGAAACTCAGCTTTCCTCACAGAAAATGACTGACTTCTTAACAACATCTCTCCTTTATTACAAGCCGCGTCAAACTCAATCATAGAAATGTCACCGACCATGTATCAATAACACCTCGTTAAATTACTTCCCCATTGCATTTCTCGATGATTAAGTAAAAGAATGGTGAAGAAATGTGTCTCAAAATAGATAAAATAATATCAGTTTTGGTGTGATTAATAACAGTAACTACAACGTATTTCGTATTTTATTCTTGCAGAGATTGTGTTAACAGCTTTTTTTTTAATATATTCTTTTCATTACACCTTGTGGAATTCTGGGAGATGCTACATTATGGTTAACGTTTTTCTTCTTTTTGAAAGAGTCTATCAAGATGTAGGACGTGAGAAAGTCATTCGGTTTTTTAATTAAGCTTCGTTACTACTGTCCGTTTCAAAATAAAAGGCACCTCACTATTTTTCGAATAACTTTTGATAGGAACAAGATAGAGAGCTGCAGTTTTCATCACTCGAAAGAGCAATCTCCGGGCCGTCGGTCGGTATAAAACTTATTAAGACGAAGCTTGCTTTTTTTTATAGGTGCTTTTGATGTCAAAATGTAGCTCAAATCATCCTTTTTCGCCATCAAATGATCACATACTTCAGTATCTCTCAACCTTCTATTCTAAGCGAATTTTAAAAAACAAATGTAAATTTTATAGCGAAAAAAGGATGATTTAAGCTACATTTTGACATAATTTCAGTTGAAATTATTGTCAAAATTGATCAAAATATTCAAAGGAAAAAATGTTGATCCAAAAGCACCTATAAAAAAGCAAGCTTCGTCTTGATAAGTTTTATACCGACCGACGGCCCGGACATAGCTCATTCGAATGGTGAAAACCGCAGCTCTCTATCTTGTTCCTATCAAAAGTTATTCGAAAAATAGTGAGGTGCCTTTTATTTTGTAACGGACAGTAGTATATAAAAAATTACTTTTAGAATTAGAGCACAATGCTTTTACACATTGAGACTTACTCCTCTTAAACACTAAGAATTGAAAAAGAAATAGAGTTCAAGTATATAGAAGAAAGGTCCAAAGTGAATTTAATGTTGCCAAATGAGCAAATTTAGAGCTTTATTTATTGTATATCTCCCAAAAATATCATGAAATCAGGCTGAAAATTCACCATGATCTCTTGACTACAGCACTAACATATTCTGAAAATTACATGCAATTTGAATGCATCTGTTGCAAGGTCGGTTTTTTGATGAGATAGGTGGAAATTGACTTTAAAATTGATATATTTACTTGTGTATGATTGCTAACTAATTGTGTTACCATTTTCATCAATGTATGCATACTTGAACGTAATCCATTACATGTACGTGTTAGTTGATCAAGACGCATATCCATATTATATATAATATTAGCTAATTCGCCATTGTCATTACCAAATTTTGCATTTCTAATATATTCATTAGCAGAATCGACTGATTCAAATTTACGTTTACGTGATATTGGTTGTGATTGTTCATCTTGTAAGGCTATAAATATTTTCAAAATGCAAAGAATTAATTACTTATGAAAATTAAATTTTTCTTTTCACCTGTTTGATGAGGAATTGGTGTAAAAACGCATCGATTTAGAGATGAACGATCAATATGAGCATAGAGATGTAAATCAAAACTAGGACACGGTGCTATAAAAATAATTATTCTGAATTAAGTAATTTGTTTAAAATCAAGACTTACGTTCATCATAGTCATGATCTTCTTGCATGGTTACTAAAGATATAGATGGTATTCTTTGTGATCGTGTGCTTTTTACAGCTTTAGCAGAACGAGAAACATGGTTATTATAATTTTCATTGCTTAATTTTGATGCTGATGAATCTAAAAAGTAAAAAAAATGAATAGAAAAAAAAAGAATCATTTCTTTTTTGCCTTCATATTGTTCATCAGTAGAATAAATCATCTGAAAAAAGAATACATAATGTAGAAATCAATTTTTCTTGGTTATTCAAATATTTCAATAAAATAATACTACAACGAATTGTTCATTGATTTTATTCTTGGATATACGTTTCTTTGTTCTTATATAAATTTACTCGTCTCTTGTTTGTACAACAACGAAAAAAAACGATGAATGCTTCATTTGTATGACATTTAAGATTAAATAAAGGAAAAAAAAATACTCTGCAGGCTCTCATACTGAATAGATTTCATTATAAATAGTTATACACACACACACAAATACATATATATATATATATCAAAAGTTTATATAAACGCAATGAAGAATTTAACAAATATCACGATTGATGTTGAGGTGGCTGTCCTCTTCGATGATTATTATTATTATGAGCAGTGCTATTATTATTGATATTATTATTATTATTATTATTATTATTATTATTATGATTTCGATTGCCAAATGGTCGATGATTAAATGTTGGCCGTCTCGTATTGTTGAAAACTCTATTATGATGACGTTGACTTGATGATGATGATGTTACTTTAACTGGTGGTTCTCGGCAAATGGGACAAACATTATTTTCCTTAAAATATACAGATAAACTAATTACATCAAAACTAGAAATCTTTACTTGTAACCAACGATCAGCACATTCTTTATGATATATATGTTTACATGGAAATCGACGTAATGCTTGACTATTTTCAAAAAGTTCCAGACATACACCACATTTATTTTCTTCTTCAGTATTATGTGAGTTCGGAATAAATTTTTCTGTAGGAATACTACTAATTTGACGTTCAGTTAATTTTTTTTTATGTATTGTATCATCAAGTTGAAGTAATCGCTAGAAAAATAAAGATTATATTTATAATCGAATTTATTTTTAATTACTTCATAATCTTCAGGGCCAAAATCTTCTTCAGTGTCTTGAAGATTTCCTGTACGACGATAACCACGTGGTCGAAAACCAGGAAAGATTGAAGCTAAATTTTCTGGGAAATGTTGACCTTGAGTAGCAAGAAGTTGCAAAATTGGATTAGACATTGTCATATAAGGATTATCTTCGTCACTATTATCATTATCACTATTTGAAGATTGTCGTTGGCGAACTCCCACGAACGGTCGAATAGGTTGAATGCTTGTTGCAATAGTTTCTGAAGTTTCAGACGATTCAGGATTTGATTGTTGTCGAAATTGAATATATGGTCGTTGACGATGTCGTTGACTAGATCGTCTTTCTTGTTCTTGTAAATATGCTGCATATTGTTCATCATTTTCGAAATGTCGCTCAGTAGTATCAAACAATGGATGTGAGTTTTCAATAGATGATTCATCACCTTCTTGTATATGAAATGGAAAAAATGAATTTTGATTTGGCATAAAACTATCTCTTGCATATTCTTCTTGTTGAAGTTGAAGAGCATATTCTGCATCGGAATCAATTTCTGCTAATCGAGTTGTATCATAACCAGATGCTTCTAATATTGAATTATTATCATTTATTAAACTTCCGTTAGAAATATGTTCCCTTTGTTCTAATGAAGGATTTTCATCATCATTGTCAGGTGATCGAATTATTGACTTCATCAATGGCTAAAAAAATTAAAAACAAAGAGAAATTTAACATCATTTATTAGTATATAGACGAAATCATTTTTAATTCGAATATGTGAATCTTACAGCTATTTTTTCTAACTCTTGTGATTTGAATATACGTTGAAATTCAGTTAAAAAATGCGTCACAGATGATGGTAATGACGAACGTTTTTGCGTCTTTCTATCTGCCATTATTTTATTCGAAGACTCAATATGAAATTTTTTTGTTAGTTGCTCATAGGAACGAAGATAGATTTCTCATTGCAAAAAAAAAACAAACCTATAAAAATAAGTTTTCGTGCTTTTTTCGTTCTGTTCTTGGTGTTTTTAACTATCGGTGAGTAAAAAAAAACAATCTATCTTATATATTACAAAAAGAAAGAAAAGGAAAAAAACTATTCGATAAAAAAGCGATAAAATAGAAGACAATACTTAACATACTTTATGAATAGCATGATTTTGATTTAAAGAATTATTAGTTTGTGCTTGTAAGTGATCAGGTTCAATCGATCGAATAATTGATTGATGATGTTCAACATCAATATCCATCGGTTCATTGCTTAATAATGAAGGTAAACTAAAGCCGGATGTTTTTGGTGGCATCTTAAAAAACAATCACTATTCATAAATCGAAACATGAAATAATTATTCTCTACATCGTTACTATCACGAAGTGTATTCGGCCATGGAATTGGTGATAAATCGTTTTGCATTATTGTAAGAATATCAAGTCTTCGAAAGAAAAATATAGCCTATTTACATATATAATCTACAAAGAATACGAAGAATACAAGAAAAAAAAAAAAGAATCTTGATTGTTTTTTGTTTTTTTTACAGGTTAAATTTTCTTTCTCGATTGTTTAATGTGTTTGTTTTATAATAAGTCTATGAATAAAAGTCCAAAAAAAAAAGAAAAAGACAATTTTCAAATAAGTTCATGTATTAATTAAGTATTTTTGGACGATCATGATAAGGACTTGACTGTTGCGTACGTTGAATATATGCTTTACTTAATGATATTTGTCGTTCTAATTCTCTTAATTGTTTTTCAGTTAACATACGTTTTTCTGTTTCATCTTGTAATTTTGATAACATATTATTAGCATCAAATTTTTCTGGTGAACCATGAAATATCACCATACCTAAAATAAACAAAATAAGAATAAATAGAGGACTTTTTTTTTGTAAACAAGAAAAAAATTAATTCTATTTTTACCATCTTTTTTATTAATTGATGCAAATATTTGTCCATTTTCAATCATATCAATTAAATATTTTTCAGCTTCATTTGTTGATTGAAGTTGTACACGATTAGCAAGATCTTTTAATGATACAGTCAAAAATGTTTTTGTTAATTGTTGTATACTATTACATATAAATGCATTCCGTGTTTGTTTTATTAAGCCTAAATTTCTATCACGTGCATATTGTTCTCGATGGTGATTAACAAATTCATCAAATTGTGTTAATGTACCATTATTAAATATATTAAACAATTCTGTATATTGTGCACCACATAAACTTTTTATTGCTTGTTGAACTGTTCGACTTGTAAATGTTGGTAATTGATTATTTGATGTTGAACCAGATATTAATTTAACTAGAACATATTTTTTATATGCTTCTATAACAATAGCTGATGTTGCTGTAGCTGGTACAGTAATAACATTCTCAAAAAAATTTGCTGCACGATCAAATTGTTTTATACAAGCATAAATCATTCCACCATAATAATAAGCAAGTAAAAGATGTTTAACATCGAATTTTCCATTTTCACGATTAATATCAATTATATCGATATCAAGATATGTTAATGCTGGTTCAAACCATTGACAAAGAAGACAAAGCTGATAGAGATCAGAATGTATGGAAAGTAATTGACCAGGTTCACGACGAAGTAATTCAATAGCTCGATAAAGAATAGGAATTCCTATTTATAGTATGAAAGATAGTTTTTTGTTTTTTTTTGTGTTTAAATTAAATGTTACTAAAGTTCACCCCTTGGATGTTTTCATGTTTATTCATTCATAGATGTAAACAAATCTCTTCATAATTTAGATCATAAAATTTATCTGTAAAATTATTTTCGTCTATTTAATAAGTTCATTAAGTTTTTGATCTCCGATTTAATATTATGAAAAAGAACAGATTATGTAACATTTTCTTTGTATCATTTTACATGATAATTTAATACGAAGGAAAGTGACTCTAGAGTATAACACTTAACTGAGTAAGATTTAAATCAAAAGAAAAAGGAAAATGTCTCTACGCAAGTCAAATTTCTTCTATGAATAATTCATATGATAATTGAGCTACACCGAAATTACTCCATCTAAAATGAAGTACAGAAATTGATGATCAACTATATTTTGCTCAATATACTTGAACGATATATTGACGAAAGCTAATTCTTTCTTATTTATATAATCCATCAAGTAATTCAAATAATTTTTCATGAATAGAATAGATTATCAAGTGAATCTGTATTATCTTTCAAGTTCAAAATGTCGAAAAAGAATATGTCAGACAACAAAAACGTAAAAATAATACTATGAAAAGAATAACAAAATATCAAGCGATAATAACATCCAAACAATATGTGAAGGCCATCTTCTGCACACTAGTGATACAAGACTTATAAAGTTCGTTTCTTTTTAAGTAAATGGCATATAATATCTCAAAAAAAAGCGCACATGCTAATATCCCATGTTGATTATACAATATTTGATAGTAAAAGATGCTTGTTCTATCTTTGCTTTGCATTGTCATTCATCATAGATTCGTTTCCTCGATATTCATTACTTTATTCAATATATTTGATAATCGACAAGCTTGGTTTTCTATCATGTAATATTCTTTTTAATTTCAGGGTTATTGATCACATAAAGCAAAAAACAAACTTCAAGTCAATATGTTGTAATCATATTTATTTCTAGACAATTTCTTTCTCCACTTATTAACTTATATCCTCAATGAAAACAAATTTCTCATAATTGGATTTGTTTTAACAAACTTACCAACTCGAGCTCGATTTTCCTTTCGAAGTCGTTCTGTAATAACATGACATATTTCACATAGATATTGAGGTAAATAATGAACTTGTTCAGCTGAACATGTTTGAATAAATGTATCAACTTGTGTAAGAAATAAATCAAAATCAGGTATATTTGGTGCTTTTGTTATTGCATGTAAACCAGCTAACATACACTTAAAAACAAAAAAAGCAAGCAAATAAATACAATCATATTAGTGTTTTTTTTGTTGAAAATTTAAATTTACCATTGAATATTCAGGTAACGTAAAAGTAGCAATAATTGAATCAATATGTTGTATATTTTTACTAAGATGATCAAGATTTGGATTTGTTAATGTTTGTGCTAAATCATTAAATTTACCATCTA